GTATTTTGGATGTATTGGGCTGTACTTTGCCATTCAAATGAATTGAAATGGAGTCTTTAAAAAAATGCAAAACAACTCCTATGGTCACATGACAATGCCATAAAACATGCCTCCTGGTGTCCATTAGCTCTAACACCAGGTTGTGTCTGTGGAGTATAGAGATACAAACTGTGCATGTGTATATGAAAATGTGTTTAAAGTTAGATCTCTTAGCACTCAGACAGTACACAGCTGATCGCAATCTTATGCATATGACTATTTTAGGACCTCAGCAAAGTGTGCTCGTGCACACTTGGTCAAATAACAAGAACTGGGTTCCAGCAAACTTTGTTAAAAGTTTAAAAATGTCAATGTGTTTGTTTCATTTCAGGTAAAAATAGACTATATCACAATAGTGCAAGTCTCCCACTTTGACAATGGGTCCAGAAGTGATGTTCCCCTTCCCCACCTCATCTCCAAGACATGTTTCACCAAACGTCTGGTATCCACCATCACCAAACGTCTGGTATCCACCATCACAGCACTGGTGCAACAAGAACGGAACACCTCATCAGATTGGCAGAAACCCTTACAACAACCAATGGCATAGTCCCCAAGGGTACTGGGGTCCACCTAGGCAATGGTCTCCAAACAGATGGGAGCCATCTCGCTATTGTCGCCGTAGTTGGGGACCAAGCCCAAGAGCACACCAAACTTCTCATTTTAAGCACAGTCCAGAGCACGTGTCAGTGTATTGTGAAAGGAGGGATGAAAAGACACAGGTAAGAATAATTGCATTTTCACTGTGTTTGCAAAGATGTTTTCACAATGAAATTGGGGAAATAGTGGGGGAACTGGCATTTTCAGAAGGAGATATCAACATTAGTAAGCCCCATATTTCTAAAAAAAAATGGCTTATAGGTTAATTTGCAAACGGTATTGCCCGTTCTCTCTGAATTATAGGCAAGTTAATGAGTTTGAAGGTTTGGTCCTTAAATATTTATACTTCATTTTCAAAATTGGCCTGCTGTGCCAAAAAATTTCTTTATAGGTTTCAATTACATTAACTGAATCCATAATAATATTAAAGAAGTATGGCTAAAGTCTTTTGGGCCATACTTCTTCTAGGAATCACAGGAGTGCTCTTAGTTCTGTACTCCTGTGTCCCAGATTCAGCCAACAGCGGGCTTTAGTCCAGCCTCTGCACGGATCCTGACAATAATTTGAGGATCCGCACAGATGCCACATCAGTAGTTGGTTCAGCCTCTCAGCAGGCATCGGATTGATGCTGCAGCCATCTAGGCTAGTACATGTTTGTTTTTTTGTGAACCTATACTTCCCTTTTAATTAACATATTGGAAGGAAATTATGGTTAATTGAATATTTAGTGAGTTGTAAAATTAGAAAGAAAAGAAAAATAGTTGATTAAACAGACTTACAGTTTTTATATAAGAGGAACTTGTGGAGAACATAGATGCCCTCATTCAACAGTAAAGTGTTTCTGGAACTTAGCATGAATGTTGCAAACATTGTTTAAGGCTTTTTCTAATGCTGAAATTATTTTTTTTTTCCAGGTTTCTTTCAAACAGAAAAGAGGTTATACTAAAGATATCAGTCACTACTACAGCCCATCAATGGTGGAAGACCCCTGGGCAGAACTGCAACCCAAAGAACCTAAATCAACACCACAAAATTCTGCCAGAGTACATCACAGCATTACTGCTGGCTCACAGACACCCAAGTTAAATATTTAGATGGATATATTATACCTTGAGAGAAGACAAGATAAATGGCATTTAAGGATACCACAAATATAACTTTCAGGAAAAGAAATGCAAGTAATCCTGTCCTCCATGTAAGTCAGCACAGAGTAAACATTTCCCCTATTACAGAGATTAAATCTAGAGACAGCAGAACAAGTCAAGATTCTGGTGAGGTGTAAATGCCACCTTCAACAAGTTCAAGTTGCTTGTATGCTGACTTACAATGTCTGTGGTCTTATGATTGAAGGGAAAGGAGACAGGATGGACCTTAAAATCAGCTTTGTCTTTATAATAATTGCATAAGCTTTATCTGCATCCCATGTTAATCGTCAATTGATCTGCCCACATGTGACTATATCTACCATGGCTCAGTAATCCATATTGGTAGCTCACGTATCAGTAAAATGAAGAACTTCGGCTTCCATTTATATTTGACTCCATTTCTTCTTGAGAAGCTCTATATTTTACTTTACACATAATTTTGCCGGGAATTACTTTTTCATACTATGATTGCTCTTTTCATGAGGATGTTTTGTTCACATTTATCTTTGCATTGTGGTCCTGTGAACAGGATATTTTGTGGCCTCTTTTCAATATAAGAATTATAAGGTTTGAACATTGTATTACATTTGCCTATTTTCCATGGCTCTTAAGGTCCTACTGTAGCTCTTTTATGAAAATTTAAAAAATTTGTATTAAACGTGATGTTTTATTCTATGATACTGTGTTTGTTTGTCCAGATCTCTCTTGCATATACTGTATATCTCTATATGAAATTAAAGGGGGTACCAAAATATTTAGAAAAGAACATTATAATATCAGCATTAGGGCCCCTATTAGTATACTCTGTACACATAATATTAGTGGTTGAAGATTCTATCCCACTATGGCAGGCTTTCTCAGCCTTTTCAAAACTGAGGAACCCTTGAGATAAGTTTCCACTCTCAGGTAATCCCTGCTAATAATTATTTTAACTATAACTCACAGTAAATTAGCATGATGGTCAGTGGGAAAATTCCCCACTTATTTTATAGCCAAACAGATCATTTATGTCAATGATTACTTATTTTATAGACAGACATTATTCAAAGAAACCTCTGCAGCTTCTGGAGGAACCAAAGTGTTCCACAGAACCCTAAACATAAAATGTGTAGTGCAGTGCTATAGGAATCTAAAAACATATATAAGATGCAAATGCCTGAGGCTAAAATTCATAATAAGATTGCTGGTATAGCATATAATAAAGTAGCAAAATGGTGACATATATATATATATATATATATATATATATATATATATATATAATGTCCGTATCCGATGTGAAATAATGTATCCCAACAACCATGCACTATATATAACCAAAATGCAACAATAAATGTCCAATAAGTGCTGGAAGTGATGTTGGTAGAGGAAAATAATAAGCTGGACAGGTGACTTCTCTACTCCCAGTGACACATGTGATCCGGTGACGTGCGGGGAAAAATGGTAAAATTGCACACTCACCAGAGGCACAATGTAAATGCCCATTTACATCAAATAAGCCAGAGGTCCCCTCTGTCCTGGGAAGGATGCAGACTGGAATGGATAACTCTTCTATGGATAAGGGTGATGGAAAGACACTTCTAGAGGTCCCCTTTAAAGCTGGCTGTGGTGGGGGTCTGCTTTTAGATTTCTCTCCTCTGTGCCCTGGGATGGTCACCTGGGGATCCTGGGGGATTACCTGCTCGTGTGGAGCAAAAAATAGTATTCATAGTGTAGTAATTATTCATAAAAAAATGAATTTATTGTTATAGGTATTAAAAATGCAAATAAACACACTGGCTAAAGATTGGCGATAATATAATCCTTAGAAAATAGATATATGCAGCATAAAGCTGCTCTGTGCATTGACCAGTATGATGTTATCTTTAAGGGATCAAGTTAAGGTTTGTTTTTTTTGTGTTAGTTTAAGAGTTAATGTGAGGCTGAGGATTAAGTGAGGGTCTTCAAACCCTAGGGCCAATGGAGGAGTAGAAAATGTCCTGGAGTCCAATGAGAGTAAACAATGCCGTATCTTTGGTGTCAGTGGAAGGAATAATGCCCCATCATTGGAGTTAGTGGGAGGAATAGTGCCCTATCATTGGTATCAGTGGGAGAAATAGTGCCCAATTGTTGGCATCAATGGAAGAAATCCTGCCCCATTGTTGTTGTCAGTGGGAGGAATTGTGCCCTTTCTTTGATGTTAGTGGGAGGAATAATGCCCCATTGTTGGTGTGAGTTGGAGGAATAGTGTCCCATCATTGTTATCAGTGTGGGAGGAAAAGTTTTCACATCATTGGTGCCAGTGGGAGGAATAGAGCCTCAAGGGCCAGATAAAGGCAAGCAACGAGCCACATCCGGCCCTCGGGCCACAGTTTGGAGACCACTGGATTAAGTAGTTAAGGATTAATTTCCAGTGGTAGGTTCAAGGAATCAAAGTAGCAAGAATAGTGAAATTTGCCTAGGTTTGTGATGACCATATATACGATCTAGATCAGCTGACAGGAAAGCAGATTCAACAACTTCAATGCTGAAATCAGCCAGCAATAGACCACTATAACATTTCTGGTTGGATCAACAAGGTATTTTTGTACTTACTGAAAATGTGCTTAGCCTAAAAATGAAAACTAATGCAGCCACCACATCTAAGGATTAGTAAACTGTAATATACAGTATTAAACTTTTGTCTTTGAGTTTAGATACACTTTAAGTTTGCTTAACTACTTTGTGAGTCACTGAGTTCCAAGAAGTCGACCTGGAATAACTAATTTAGGTGTCCGTTTATGAACCAGCGGTAAATGATCGCTGCTCAGTTCTCCGGAATTCTCGGAGAACACCGTTCTCCTGTGAATGCCGTTTATGAAGCGGTGTAGATCAGTTCTCCGAACTAAGGGAGAACGGTCTACATACGCTGGGAAAACGGCTGCTTTTACTATAATCTCACGAGATTACCGTAAAAGATCAATTTACTAAGTAGAGGTAAATTATCTCTGCTTAGTTTGCGGTCCCTCCGATTCTCCTGCTCTGGGCTGGAGAATCTGGAGGGAGAACACAGATCTCCAGTGAAGGGCTGAACATGTTCTCCGCTGATCTCCTGAGTGTCATGAACTGTGAATGATCAGAGAATAGCTGCGATCCTCTGAATCTCACTGCGAATGCGCGGCTCAGGGAGCGCGCAGCGCGGTGATCGCCGGTCCGCTGTGTCACGGAAAGAGCCGAAGATGTCGGCTCGGTCATGTGATCAGCTGTGTCCAATCACAGCTGATCACATGTAAACACGGAAATGCCGGTTATCGGCATTTCTCTCCTCTCGAGCTGTCACGCTGACAGTTCGAGGGGAGAGGAGAGCCAGTAATCGGCTTTCCACGGAGGGGACATGTACACTGATCATCAGGGCACTGATGATCAGTGTGGCCCCAGAAGTGCCACCTGTCAGTGCTAATCAGTGCCAGTGCCGATTAGTGCCACGTGCCAGTGCCCATCAGTGCCACATATCAGTGTATATCAATGCCATATATCAGTGCCCATCTGAGCTGCCTTTCAATATCACCCATCAGTGCCAGTCAGTGCCACCTATCAATGCCAATCAGTGCCACCTATCAGTGCTGCCAATCAGTGTCACCTATCAGTGCCAGTCAGTGTCGCCTATCAGTGCCAGGCAGTGCCAGTCAGTGCACTATTCCTCCCACTAACTCCAATGATGAGGCATTATTCCTACCACTGACACCAAGGCACTAGTCCTTCCACTGACACCAAAGATAAGGCATTGTTTACTCTCACTGGCCCTAGTCGGCCCCCCCCCCCCCCAAAGTTTGTAGGACAGTGAAGTGGCCCTTTGTTTAGAAGGTTTGAAGACCCTCACTTAATCCTCAGCCTCACATTAACTCTTAAACTAACACAAAAAAAACAAACCTTAACTTGATCCCTTAAAGATAACATCATACTGGTCAGTGCACAGAGCAGCTTTATGCTGCATATATCTATTTTCTAAGGATTATATTATCGCCAATCTTTACCCATGGGAATTATTTTGCCTAAGTGTGTTTATTTTGCATTTTTAATTCCTATAACAATAAATTCATTTTTCTATGAATAATTACTACACTATGAATACTATTTTTGCTCCACACAAGCACTTAATCCCCCAGGATCCCCAGGTGACAATCCCAGGGCACAGAGGAGAGAAATCTCAAAGCAGACCCCCACCGCAGCCAGCTTTAAAAGGGGGACCTCTAGAAGTGTCTTTCCATCACCCTTATCCACAGAAGAGTTATCCATTCCAGTCTGCATCCTTCCCAGGACAGAGGGGACCTCTGGCTTATTTGATGTAAATGGGCATTTACATTGTGCCTCTGGTGAGTGTGCAATTTTACCGTTCTTCCCCGCATGTCACCGGATCACATGTGTGTCACTGGGAGTAGAGAAGTCACCTGTCCAGCTTATTATTTTCCTCTACCAACATTACTTCCAACACTTATTGGACATTTATTGTTGCATTTTTGGTTATATATAGTGCATGGTTGTTGGGATACATTATTTCACATCGGATACGGACATTATATATATATATATATATATATATATATATATATATATATATATATGTCACCATTTTGCTATTTTATTCTATGCTATACCAGCAATCTTATTATGAATTTTAGCCTCAGGCGTTTGCATCTTATATATGTTTTTAGATTCCTATAGCGCTGCACTACACATTTTATGTTTAGGTTTCTGTGGAACGGTTTGGTTCCTCCAGAAGCTGCGGAGGTTTCTTTGAATAATGTCTGTCTATAAAATAAGTAATCATTGACATAAATGATCTGTTTGGCTATAAATAAGTGGGGAATTTTCCCACTGACCATCATGCTAATTTACTGTGAGTTATAGTTAAAATAATTATTAGCAGGGATTACCTGAGAGTGGAAACTTATCTCAAGGGTTCCTCAGTTTTGAAAAGGCTGAGAAAGCCTGCCATAGTGGGATAGAATCTTCAACCACTAATTTATGTGTACAGAGTATACTAATAGGGGCCCTAATGCTGATATTATAATATTCTTTTCTAAATATTTTGGTACCCCCTTTAATTTCATATAGAGATATACAGTATATGCAAGAGAGATCTGGACAAACAAACAAACACAGTATCATAGAATAAAACATCATGTTTATTAAGAATTTTTTAAATCTACATAAAAGAGCCACAGTAGGACCTTAAGAGCCATGTAAATATGCAAATATAATACAATGTTCAAACCTTATAATATCCATCTAAATATTTAACTTAGGTGTCTGTGAGCCAGCAGTAATGCTGTGATGTACTCTGGCAGAATTTTGTGGTGTTGATTTAGGGTCTTTGGGTTGCAGTTCTGCCCAGGGGTCTTCCACCATTGATGGGCTGTAGTAGTGACTGATATCTTTAGTATAACCTCTTTTCTGTTTGAAAGAAACCTGGAAAGAAAATAATTTCAGCATTAGAAAAAGCCTCAAACAATGTTTGCCAACATTCATGCTAAGTTCCAGAAACACTTTACTGTTGAATGAGGGCATCTACGTTCTCCACAAGTTCCTCTTATATAAAAACTGTAAGTCTGTTTAATCAACTATTTTTCTTTCTTTCTAATTTTACAACTCACTAAATATTCAGTTAACCATAATTTCCTTCCAATATGTTAATTAAAAGGGAAGTATGGGTTGACAAAAAAAGAAACATATTTACTAGCCTAGATGGCTGCAGCATCAATCCGATGCCTGCTGAGAGGCTGAACCAACTAGTGATGTGGCATCTGTGCGGATCTTATTGTCAGGATCCGTGCAGAGGCTGGACTAAAGCCCGCTGTTGGCTGAATCTGGGACACAGGAGTACAGAACTAAGAGCACTCCTGTGATTCCTAGAAGAAGTATGGCCCAAAAAACTTTAGCCATACTTCTTTAATATTATTATGGATTCAGTTAATGTAATTGAAACCTATAAAGAAATTTTTTGGCACAGCAGGCCAATTTTGAAAATAAAGTACAAATATTTAAGGACCAAACCTTCAAACTCATTAACTTGCCTATAATTCAGAGAGAACGGGCAATACTGTTTGCAAATTAACCTATAAGCCATTTTTTTTTAGAAATATGGGGCTTACTAATGTTGATATCTCCTTCTGAAAATGCCAGTTCCCCCACTATTCCCCCAATTTCATTGTGAAAACATCTTTGCAAACACAGTGAAAATGCAATTATTCTTACCTGTGTCTTTTCATCCCTCCGTTCACGATACACTGACATGTGCTCTGGACTGTGCTTAAAATGAAAAGTTTGGTGTGCTCTTGGGCTTGGTCCCCAACTACGGCGACAATAGCGAGATGGCTCCCATCTGTTTGGAGACCATTGCCTAGGTGGACCCCAGTACCCTTGGGGACTATGCCATTGGTTGTTGTAAGGGTTTCTGCCGCCCTGATGGGGTGTTCCATTCTTGTTGCACCAGGGCTGTGATGGTGGATACCAGACTTTTGGTGATGGTGGATACCAGACGTTTGGTGAAACATGTCTTGAAGATGAGGTGGGGAAGGGGAACATCACTTCTGGAACCATTGTCAAAGTGGGAGACTTGCACTATTGTGATATAGTCTATTTTTACCTGAAATGAAACAAACACATTGACATTTTTAAACTTTTAACAAAGTTTGTTGGAACCCAGCTCTTGTTATTTGACCAAGTGTGCACGAGCACACTTTCCGGAGGTCGTAAAATAGTCATATGCATAAGACTGCGATCAGCTGTGTACTGTCTGAGTGCTGAGAGATCTGACTTTAAACACATTTCATATACACATGCACAGTTTGTATCTCTATACTCCACAGACCCAACCTGGTGTTAGAGCTAATGGACACCAGGAGGCATGTTTTATGGCATTGTCATGTGACCATAGGAGTCGTTTTGCATTTTTTTAAAGACTCCATTTCAATTCATTTGAATGGCAAAATACAGCCTAATACATCCAAAATACAGCATACAGGATTTACAGAGGTATAGAAGGCAAAAAGGTGGCAGTGATATCTTTTAGTGTCTAACAAAGTATAAACCTCCCTCTTCTAGTATTATGACATTATAACCAATGATATATATATATTCTCATCAGAGGCATAGTATACAGTTAAAATTTAAATAGGATAATAAAAGATGACATATAAACAATAAACTGGCAAGTTTCAATGGGTCCCTCATTAGTGCCGCAGTGTGAAGAATCAGAAAGTCCTAGTGTATTGAGATACTCATGAAAATTAATTTACATAAGGTGTCATGCCCATCCCTAGATTTAACCCTTATTATAGTGTATTCAAATTTTAGTACGTTTGTATTCCCAGATTTGAATCTCTTATTCAGATGTGAAACAGACTTTCAAAATAGGTACTTTCCTATGTTCTTTGCCATGGCAACATGAGAATTTATTGGGGATGGTATAGTTCTGAGTTCATTTTTTGTAGTTGATTTCTGCACAAAACATGTGTGTACATCTCCTATTTGTAAATGGCAATGTACCTTACAGTTGGTTTGGTCAAACAACTTTTATCTAGCTGCTTTTGTAAATGGGCAGATTGTCTATAGGAGAGCAGAAGCAGATCCAAAGTATTTCATTGACATGGCTGGCCTTATGGAGTCAATACATTTTTTCTGTGCTGATAAAATTCCAGCAAAATGCATGAAAATACATTTGGTGGGATCAGAGAGGAACAGCAGCTATTAAGAAAGCCAAACAGATTTCCTTCAGGGATGAAATAACTACATTTCTTTTTAACTTATTTATTATTACTATTAATCCATGTCATGTGAATGGGAACATGTAACAAATATAAAGTATGTTATCCTAATGTAGCTGCAAAAAAAGAAATACACTTTAAAGAACCTCAGCCGATATAGCCACAAATGATTAGCATACTACAATGTATTTTCAAAATCTAAAATTTTGAAATGATTAAATCCCTTACAATAGCAAATAAATATTTGTTCAGGCTTCACAAACTTTTACAAGGTTGTATCACATTTACAAGAGAAAATAAATTGTAGAAATTCCATTAGCTTACCTTAGCCTTAGCTCTCTCCAGATGTCTGCATGTTGTTTTCCTCTGGCTGGTATTTATGTCCATGAGGGTAGAAACTTTTTTTCTTTCACATGTAAATATGGGGACTGTCCTCACTGACCAATAGCAGCTCCTAATCAGTTTCATACATTGGCAGACAATTGTGTAAAGGGAGATAGGTGAGGAAGAAATAATTAAACATGCACACAGTGAAAATCTGGAAATTTCAGCACTTTACTGAATAATGTAACATGATGAATATTTGCTTTGCAAACCAATAAAGTGAAATCATTTTACATCATCAATGTCTCACGTTTTAAGAAATATGCAATGGCAAAAGTTATGTGATTGTTGACTAGAGATGATAGAAACAAAGTAAAAAAAACAGCTTTGGGAAAAACAAATTTTGCAAAGACAAAAGAAACAATAATTTTATATATACAGTATATTCCTGTTTTTTTCCATGCCTTATTAAAAGTAATACTATACAAGGTTTTGATCCTGCAACAGCTTGTCTTCATCATCTTCAGTGTCTTATAGACACACGGCATTAAGAACATTGCAGCAGTGACCTCTTCTAC